CCGTTACAGTATGCAACTTACACACACACACACTGACGCATGTGGCGAACTTGACAACACACACTCACGGCCCCGCCCGCCCGCCCGTCCGCACAAGCGCACACACGAACACAAACGGACATGAATGCACAAACCCAACCGTACGCACGCACACAAATGCATTGTGGGCAGACTGTCAGGGTTCAACCTCCTGATAAGTTGGTGAAAGTCCAAAGAAACAGTTTGGCACAGTCGTGCTTTTGGGGGGGCGTTCCCATGAACACATGAAGTGTGTGTGTGCGTGCGCGAGAGAGATTTAGAGAGAGAGAGAGAGAGAGAGAGAGAGAGAGAGAGAGAGAGAGAGAGAGAGAGATGCTCAGTTGAGCAATGTATATGGAGCCAAGGATCCGCAAAGTGATGAAAAGGACTCGAATGGACAATGCAGCATCAGCAACGCATCAACAAGCAATGTACATCCAGATACATATGAACATAGCACAATATAGCRCAGCAGAGAACTCAAAGATATGACCTGACCTGTCAGATACTGACGTGACATCCCATCATACACCACACATATGAGAGAGGGAGCAGGGACCASATACATGGAAGAAAGGTCACTCCTTGCACATGCACATGGGGAAGGTACCACARATGAAGAGATGGGGGAGAGGCGAGATGAAGATGGAGGTGAGGGAGAAGACCAAGATCATCGTAGCGAAGTCTAAAAATAGTCTCCGTGCGGAATGTCCAATCAATGTCTGCCATGTCCAATCAGACCTAGGGCTTCATTCCCGATGTAACCTCTGCCTGTAACCCCTCTTTCTCTCTCTCTTTGTCTTTGAAAGAAGAAAAAGAAGGAGAAGATGAGGAAGGAGGGAGAGTAGATGGAGGGCAAGACGCCTGCAGGTTTCGTTATGTAACTGTCGTCGTGGTCCATGTGCAAGTCGAGGGCATGGAGCGAGGCTATGGCGCCCAGATGAGTACCCCCTCTGCAAGTATGGGACAAGCTGTCCCAGGACCAGATGCTGGGGCTTCCAGCAGTGCATCCTCTAGCCGTCAACTGGAGGAACGCGTTGACCACGTAGTGGCAATGCTAGGAGACATAAGTGCCTTCACAGAGCCGGCCACCATCAGCCAGCGGTTCGAGTTGCTGGACACTAAGATCAGTCAGCAACAGCCGACCTACCACAGCCACAACAACAGCTCGGCAAGGCCATACAAGATGTCGGCGTTCCGGATCGAGAAATTTGATGACTACACACATCAAGACCCGGTCGTCTGGTGGCAAGGGTTTACAACGGAGTTGGGGATCCACGAGGTCCCTGACCATCTGTTCATCAGTGCTCTATTCATCAACACCAAGGGAGGATGTCAGATCTGGCTCAGCCACATGGCAACCATCCACGATGTCCAGGTTTCAGACCTGCATAAGAAGGTCACCTGGGAGGATATGACAAAGGAATGGAAGAAGCGATTCATAGTGTATGACGCACCCGCGCTCGCCATCAACCGCACCTTCGCGATGGCTCAAGGGAGCACACCGACACGTGACTGGCTCACGGATTGGCAGAAGATCGTGGCCACGCCCGATCTGGACTTGCCATTTCCGCATCTGCGCCGTGAGTTCTACAACAGGTCATTCGCCGCTCTCAGCCTCGCACTTCGTGATCGCGAGCAGTACAACACTTTTGCAGAGATCATCAACAAGGCGAGAGATATCATCAAGACCAACAGGGCGGCCGCACACGAGAAGTCAACGTGGCAGCCAACCTATGTGGAGAAGGTACGAACTGGTCCACGACAGCAGCAGTTCGCTGCATTCCAATCGGACAGTGGAGAAGACCCAGCAGCCACTCCAGCATCACGTGAGGGAGATCAGGTGGCTGCTGTCCAGCCGCGAAGCAACAAGCCCCGAGTGAATGGGAAGGCAAAACCAGCATCGCTGGCCGGAAATGGACAGCCAGCACCACCATGGGTCAAGTTCGGCTTGACCGAGGCCGAGTACAAGTACCCCAACCGTTACGGCTGCTGTTACTGGTGCAACAGCACCAAGCACAAGACCTCCATTTGCCAAGATCAGGCCAAGGAGGATGTGCGGCCTCCTCTTAACTTGGGAAACTGAGTTGCGCAGGAGGTGAGGCGACTCCACCTCTCACTCCGCCAGATTCGGCCGCCTTGCTAGCGGCCTCCTAAACATCTGGGGAGGATGCGCATGTCGCAAGTCCGAGGTACACTTACGAGGATAATGCTGTCCACTTGGTCCCACCGGTGGACCAACCGCTCCACGTGCAACCATCTACCGCATGCACGGTAAGCTGCCGCTATCTATTGCCGGGGATTCAACGTCCTGGTCAAGACTTGAGGTGCTCGACCCATTGACGTTCACGGATTTCCAGTGGATGCCCGTTCCCCAGACCGGACGATTGCCGAAACCGCATTGCAATGTGCTGATGGCACAACTGCGAGATTACTAGCACACTGCAGTACCAGCTCCGTTGATGGACGCCGGAGTAGAGGTTGTCGACCTTCACGCTTACATTGCGAAGATCGACCGCGAGTTCAAGACGCAACGGTACGACGACATCAACGCACCATTCTTATATGTACGCATTCAGATCGGAGAGGCAACCTGCAACGCCTTGATCGATTGCGGAGCATCTCGCAACTATATCAGCCAGGACTTCATGGTGCGCGCCGGCCTTGGCCCACGTGTCCGGAGGAAGTCCCAGCCTACGCAAGTCGCTTTGGCAGACGGTCATACGCACAAGTCCATCGACCGGTGCATTGACGCCGTCCCCGTGTACTTTGCCCCTCACACAAGTGAGGCGGTGTCCTTTGATATCCCGGACACCAAATTTGACATGATCTTGGACATGTCATGGCTGCGAAGCGAGGATCATCCGGTGAACTTCTTCCACCGCACCGTTCACATTCGCGATCGGAACGGAGTATTAGTTCCAGGCACAGTACCTCTTCCTCATCCTTCGATCAACTGCCACGTGGTATCCGCCGCAAGCATGTGAGCATCCATCATCAGAGACGACATCGAGGAGATGGGGGTGTGTTTTCTCCACGCCCTCCCGCCCCGAGACGCTTCATTGACGGACTCATCTTCGGATCCACGCATCATCGAACTTCTCGACGCCTACAGCGACGTGTTCGAAAGCCCGCACGGAGTAGTACCGGATCGGCCCATCCGCCATGAGATCATCCTCGAGGACGGGGCCGTACCTCCGCGCGGTTGCATCTACCGAATGAGCGAGGAAGAGTTAAGTGTGCTCCGTGCACAACTCGACGATCTTTTAGAGAAAGGCTGGATTCGGCCGAGCTCATCGCCATACGGTGCTCCTGTCCTCTTCGTCCGGAAGAAGAACAAGGACCTTGAGGTTGTGCATCGATTATCGCAAGCTCAACGCGCAGACGATTAGGAACGTCGGCCCTGTCCCACGCATCGATGATCTTCTCGAGTGACTGGGCGGCGCCAAGTTCTTCTCCAAGCTGGATCTCAAGTCAGGGTACCACCAACTCGAGATTCGCAAGGAGGATCGCTACAAGACCGCGTTTAAGACGCGATATGGGCATTTCGAATGGCTGGTCATGCCATTTGGCCTTACGAATGCCTTGGCCACTTTCCAAGCGGCTATGACAACGGAGTTTCGACACATGCTGGATCGATTTGTACTTCTCTACCTCGAGGACATCCTGGTGTACAGCCGGAGTTTGGAGGAGCATGTGGAACACCTGCGCACCGTTTTGGAGCGGCTACAACAAGCCAAGTACAAAGCCAACCGCGACAAGTGCGAATTCGCGCGGCAGGAGCTTGAGTACTTGCGACACTATGTGACGCCGAAAGGCATTCGTTCGCTTGCGGACAAGATCGAGGCCCTACGAGTATGGCCCGAGCCCACCAACACCACAAACGTTCGTTCATTCATGGGATTGGCGGGCTACTATCAGCGATTCATCACCGGATCCTCCAGGATTGCTGCACCTATGACGAGGTTACAGTCGCCAAACGTGCCATTCGTGTTCGACGGCTATGCTCATGGCACCCGTCCTTAGCATCCATGACCCCACCCTGCCAACGCGAGTGACTACGGACGCTTCCGGCTATGGCATTGGGGCCGTCTTGGAACAACACGACGGGGACGACTGGCACGCCGTGGAGTATTTCAGCCACAAAGTGCCTCCCATCAACTCGCTTGATGATGCAAGAAAGAAGGAGCTACTCGCGTTCGTCATGGCTCTCAAGCGATGGCGGCACTTCCTCCTTGGGCGTCGTAGGTTCACATGGGTTACAGACAACAATCCATTGACCTACTACAAGACGGAGGATACGATGCGCAGCACGATCGGACGATGGATGTACTTCATCGACCAGTTTGACTTCACACCGAAACATCTTCCCGGCCTCTCAAATCGCGCAGCAGATGCACTCTCGCGAAGACCTTTTCTTTGCGCTATGACACATCATGCCTTCGCATTCGACGAGGAGCTTCAGCGACACTTCATCCGGGCATATGAGTCTGATCCGGACTTCGCCACGCTGTACGCACAACTATCTTTGGATCACCCGCAGGATAGCTACTATCGCATCGCCGACGGATACTTGCTCCTCCACTCGAGAGGCAAGGACTTATTGTGCATCCCATGCGATCGTCGTCTTCGGACTCGCCTCCTCGGCGAGTATCATGAGTCACGACTCGCCGGCCATTTCGGAGTCAACCGCACTATTGCACGACTTTGACAGCAATTTCGATGGCCCGACCTCGTTACCGATGTCACGCGGTATTGCGACTCTTGCGAAGTTTGCCGACGCAGCAAGCCCCGCAATCGCAATCCCTACGGCGAGCTACACTCGATGCCTATCCCACGGGAAGCCGGTCTCTCCATTGCCATGGACGCCACCGGTCTATTTCCTCGCGACCGGCTCGGGCACTACGGCATCCTCACGGTGGTGGACCGATTGAGTGAGTACGCGCATTTTCTCCCTTGCAAGTACTACTCCACGGCTCCCGAGCTGGCACGCCTCCTGCACACTGGTTGGATTTGTGGCCACGGTGTACGAGAAGACATTGTCAGCGACCGCGACACTCGTTTCATGTCGGCGTTTTGGACTGCTCTCATGCAGGAGTCCGGCACAACAATGAAACCAAGTTCGGCTCGACATCCTCAGACAGACGGGCAGACGCAGCGGGCACATCAAAACGCTCGAATGATGCTTCGTACGCTCATTCGTCCGGACCAGAAAGATTGGGTTGACCGCCTCCCCGACATCAAGTTCGCCTACAACACTTCGGTGCATCCGGCGATCGGCGTGACTCCATTCGAGTTGCACCACGGTGGACGGAAAGGCCGCATCTTCGCCAACTTTCTTCTCCCTCAACCAGCCGGCATTGACGCCGCTTGCTCCCCCGCTTCCGTTCGGAAGTACAGGGACTTGCTGATTCAAGCCCGCGCAAATATGCAAAAGGCTCAAGTTCGCATGCAGCAGCAAGCCAACAGGCATCGCGTACCATGTCCCATCCGCGCCGGTGATCTGGTTTGGGTCTCCGCGGAAGAGTTTGCACTGGAACAGGACGTTTCACGGAAACTGCTTCCCAAGTGGTTTGGACCTTGGTCTGTGACAGCATCCGCGGGCGATGAGCGCAATGGCCCTTCATTTGTGATCGACATTCCAGAGTATCTGACGGTCCATACGGTCCTCCACGCCTCGAAGCTGGCAACATACACGCCAGCCAAGAGCGACGACTTTCCGGGCCGACGATCGTAGGACCCTCCTTCTATGGATGGCCATCAGGAAGTTGACCGCGTCATCATCGATCGCAAGTACGTCAGCAAGCCGCGACAGTACAAAGTCACATTCAAAGCATGCGATCGCGACGACACTCGGTGGATTTCAGGAGCAGATTTGAAAGCATCTGCACCGCTGATCTACGCTCACTATGAACGTCAAAGGTTAGCCAAGGGACCTCCACGACCTGCCCCTCCCACCCGGACTGTGGTCCCTCCCTCAGACAGACAGCTTCGCCCTCACAGGTAAGCTCGGTCTTTCAAGGAGGGGGGGGTGTGGCATACTGCGCGGCCACACGGGCCCTGTAGGACCCGTCCCGGACATTCAGCCTAAAAGCCTAAAACTTAAGATCTACAGGCCCCGGTTGTTTCAGCCTGAAAACTGAAAAACGAGGGCCTGCAGGCCCTACTCCATTTCAGCCTATTTCTGGGTCTTTCCGACCCAGAGTTTATCCCGCCTGAAACGGAGGGCTATTCTTAGGCCCTGGACTGTTTTGAGGCCCTCATTTGTTTCGACGTGCCCTAAGATTCAGGCACGAAAACTGGGTTTCGGAACACGCTATTTCTGGCCTGTTCCCACGCCAGCTCGAGCAGGAGCTGCAGCTGCAGCCCCTGCCTCCCTGTGGCATTATTGGCGAGAGCACGAGCAGGAGCTGCAGCTGCAGCCCCTGCCTCCCTTCGGCATTATTGGCAAGAGCACGAGCAGGAGCTGCAGCTGC